TTATACTGGCATAGCAAGAAATATAAATAAATAGTTTACAGGTGTTGCTGAATGTCGACTCCAGTTTTTCAATTCTCAGACTTTCACGAATTCTCATGGCCCTCGGTGGAACAGCGGTAAGTCTTCGGATTTACAACGCTAAAATCAGAGGTTCGATTACCCTCGGTGGACACAGCAGATACGAATTGTCAGTTGCTATTCTGTGCTTGTAATACCAAACAGAGTGTTTAGTGATCTCTAACTTTGAGTTGGTTTAGTGTGTTCTTATATTGTAATACCAAACAGAGTGTTTAGTGATCTCCTTTGATTGATTTAGTGTGTCCTGTTGGTGTAATCCCACATCTAGTTTTATGCGTCTTTACTTTGAGATGATTTAGTGTGTCCTGTTAGTGTAATCCCACACCTAATTTTTATGAGTCTTTACTTTGAGATGGTTTAGTGTGTGTCCTGTTGGTGTAATCCCAGACCTTGTTTGTATGAATCTTTACTTTGAGATGGTTTAGTGTGTCCTATTAGTGTAGAGACATGTAAGTATCAACTTTTTCCAGCCACAAACGAACAAATCTCCTGGTCTAAACAATAAATAGAAGTTTTGGTATTCTGCTTTCTGAGTACTTTTAATACTTATTAATGACAAATTGTGGGAAAAAATTGAATTCTTTAAGCCTATGTACTAGCAAAGTGTGGATCCAGGTGTGATGTAATATCAGGGTAAAACTGATAGCAGTTGTAATCACATCATTATTTACAGGCCCATTATTGTCTTACATATACAGCGGATTTAAAATGCATTCAACTAAAACTTCGTATGTTGCAACCCGATGAATTCTGGTATTGGATGAAGAGCCTGCAAGGATATACAATAAACAAGTCTGGTTTGAAATGTTTTAACTACGTATCCAGTACGAAAATATGTGGTTAAAGTTGTTATAAGTCTACTCTGATGCAAGATTTCGTCTATAACCAACCCAACCAGAATACTGTTCTTGAGAAACTTTACAGAAAGTAGTTACTAATACTATGAAACAGTAAGAGATTTTTGGTTGTCAAAACTTGCCTCAACATATCATTCCAATATTCATCATTTACTTTCACTTCCCTATACGCTCATTCTGTTGTATGAAGTGGATCTAATGAACTCGTTGCTGTAGAAGAAATTTTTTTGGTCAGCTCTACATATTTAATTAACTACGAAGAAATTAGCATTATACTTTTGTTGACCTTTACTCTTGTACTGACGTCACATATTATTTTGTATAGTAACAGCTCAACTGTCTTATATCTTTTTTTTCGAAAGTTTCAACCCACAGAACGTTTTAACAATAATTCTCATAAATATGAGCGGAAAAAGCGACTTGAACTCGATTTATATTTTAAAGAGAATGAACATTTCAGGTTCAACTCGAAATGTTAGTGTGAGTGTCATGATGATTAGATAATCTATAAACTATAAAGTTGAAGTCCTCTGTGTTGATGTGAAATGGTTTGAATCACAGATAAATTATGAGGTTGAACTACGCAGTAATGGTGTGAAAGTAGTTTGAAATGCAGATATGTTATGAACTAAACTATTATATGACAATCACAACTTTCCCACTGTCTCTGATAAACAGCGAACTTGCGATACTGACAAATATTGTTCACTTAACTTTAAATCGTTAGTAAATTCAAATCTCCAAATAACCAACTAGTTTTAGTACAGTACACTACCGTGAGGTTCATATTGCATCACATTGAGCAGTTTTATGCTTTAAGTGTCACAAAGTTCAGGGCCTGGCATGGCCAGGTGGTTAGGGAGGTCGACACGCAATCTATGGGTCGCGAGTTCGAATCCCCGTCCCGCCAAACATGCTCGCCCTTTTAGCCGCGGGGCGTTATAATGTGACGGTCAATCCCACTATTCGTTGGTAAAAGAGTAGCCCAAGAATTGGCGGTGGGTGGTGATGACTAGCTGCCTTCACTATAGTCTTACACTGCTAAATTAGGGACGGCTAGCACAGATAGCTCTCGTGTAGCTTTGCGCGAAATTCAAAACAAACAAACACAACGTTCAGTGTAAAACAGTGTAAAAAGACTAAGGAAATGCATTGGGAAAAAATCACGTTTTTTATGTAAACTACAGAAGTAGTTACTGGAATGAACCACAATATGGACGATATTTTTGTTTATATTTTTATGTGACTCACACGTTAAGGGCTCTCTAAACCAAGAGTGTCAAATACCCACAGATAATTTAGTGCATTAAAGTTTATAAAAAATGTGTTTAAAAGGTCAATGGTATCGGTAATTCCACATTGAAACTTCCAGTAAGGCATGAATTTTCTTTACATTTTACTTTTCTTAAACCTATACGAACTTAGGATCATTCCGTAATTGAAATTATACACCGATCCCAGCATACACTTAAAACCGTTTTCTCAAGTGAAACCGTATACATGTTCTATAGTCAAAATATTTAAACTCTTAATTTCTAGCCAAATCAAACAATAAACGAGCAATGTCTAGATCCATAACTTTCCAATGTGATTAAAGAAAGCGCGATAATCCTTCCAAATTTCATTATTATTCAAGAAATGCATAAAAAATACGACTTGTGGCATTCAGGGTGCATTTAGTAGTGAGTGTTATGTAAACGTATAGAAAACTGTAATAATGTTTACATGAACAGCTGTTAAGTGCAGTTTTACATAATAATCTAGTTATGAAATCGCGCTGAACACATGTCTTTGGCATACCCCCTTAATAACTGAAATGTCGAACATCCTAACGGTTTGTTTTAGGGGCACAGAGTTTGAACCCCTCTTTCTGATGTGAATAATTCGGGATGAAGAGGATATGTATATTGATGAACAGTTTTATGATGCGTAGCTTGAGTTTTTATATTTTTTATTAAGAGATAACATGAAAGTTAAATAGTGGATACTGCTGAATTTCTGAATGTTGCCAAGCGAGATATAACACAAATGTCATACACAGTACTTGTCGTCCAAGCCAACAAACGGCCTACTTGTAGGATTGAATGCTGGTACCACAGATACGATCATAATGCAACTCTCAGATTTGACCTTTATACATTCATTCATTATTCATAGTAATGAAATGTCTCCCTCTACATCGACTGGTAGGTTTAGAACCCCATTTAGGGCTCTAGGTAAGACAACCTCGCCCTTTGGGTGCGGCACATCGAGCTCTAACGAACGTATTTTTCTTTATCGATTTGTTTGTTTTGTAGATACACACTGGGCTATCTGTTCTATGCCCACCAGGACTATCGAAACCTGGTTTTTAGCGTTATATGCCTGCAGACTTACCGCTGTGCCACTGAGGGCTACTTTATCAGAAATCATCTGTTATGTATTAGAGGCTGTTGTGACAGTAGAGTCCTGGTGAAATGTTGACGTGGTTATTTGATTATTGGAAATGACTTATGTGAACTGTTATCATTCTCAAAAGTTTAACTGTGAACTTATAACACCTGACGTCTTCAGAATAGAAATAATGGAATATGTTTTATATTATATCTGATTAATTCTTAGTCGATTCGTTACTTGGAATGGATCATTGATAAGTTTTAGAGTTTATAAGCTTGAAATTCGGGGTTAGATCTTCACAATGGGTGCAGCGCAGATGAATCATTGTGCACTTTTGCACTTAAAACAGAAAAAAAAATGCGTTAGCAATTAATAGATTGCACAACAACAACAAAATTCAATTCGTAAGAACGATAAAATCTGGGATTCGATACCTTGTTGTGAGCAGAGCGCAGATAGTTTGTTATTAAAACAAACAAATGAAACATAGCGTTATATATTTATATGGAAAAAAAATAAACTTTTAACGAAGTGTTAAACGTTTCTTTAGAACATTTGTTTTAAGGATAAATGTGACTTCTAAATAACTAATCTATTATAATAATAATAATAATACTCAGATTTTGTCTGTCCTGAAAATGTGCGCGCATCTTACTATCTAAATGCGCAAAAGTTTGGTTTGAATTTCTCACAAAGCTACACGAGGGCTATATGCGATAGCCGTCCCTAATTTAACAGTGAAAGATTGGAGGGAAGGCAGCTAGTCATCACCACCCACCGCTAACTCTTGGGCTATGGGATTGACCATCACATTATAACGCCCCCACAGATAAAAGGGCAAGCATGTTTGGTGGGACGGAAAGATTCGATTGCGAGTCAAGTGCCCTAACCACCTGGCCATGACGGGCCGTAAACAAAAGACGGCTGTAAATATACTGTAATAAACATTTTATAGAATAACATGTTAAAAGATTTTCAAAGTTTATAAAAAAAAAGGTCTAACGTTAGGTCGTAGACTAACATTATAAGTTTATTTATTGATAGTATTAAGTACGATAACTAAACAAAAGCAAAAAACGTACATAAGTTACAGTATTATCTGTTTATAGAATATAAGCCGTATTTAATAAAGGCTTAACTAATGTTAAGCCTATGACAAGTGGATTTACAGATTTCAGTGTCTACTATTAGAATTATTTTGTATTCTTCTAGAAATTCCGTGTTTACAGAAGTAATATTGTTATAAAAATGTCTTTGCTGGTATATATAATTATATAATTTGTGTATTAACAATGCAATGAATTCCATCAAGAAAATCTTATTTTATGTCATTATTTAAGCAAAGTAATATCTAAATAAGTTATTGTACAAACTAACGCCAGTTACGGGTGAGATGAATTACCAACTGTATCTGTTAACAATATCTAGGATATGTTAGTTTTTAGAAAGTACAGATTGTTTTAAATTCTTAACGAAACAACGCTGTTTTTAAAGACCTTGTTTTGTAAAAAAAAAAAAAAAGGGGGAACGAGTTTGCCATCACGTGACACAAACTTGCTCACTTGTTCTTCCCAATACAGGAAGCAGGGGGAATGGTGGCCTGAGAGCGCATGCTATTACTGTTGCGCCACATACCGTCAGAGTGTGAAAGCGAGTTGGTTGCAGTTGACGAAGGGCGAGGTCTAAGAAGGTATTGAATAGGTAGCTGAATGCTCAGCTGTACGTATGGTATAGACGGCATCGTGAGGAGTTCCGTTGTTTTTCAAAGTCTCACCTCGAACTGCTTTCTATAATCCCTCTGTCTTAGAAAGTCACATCATACTGCTGTCAGGAGTCCCATTGTCTTAGAAAATCACTTCATACTGCTGTATAGAATTACACTGTGTCAGAAAATCTCCAACAATGCTGTCAGGAGTCCTGTTGTCTTAGAAAATCACTTCATACTGCTGTATAGAGTTACACTGTGTCAGAAAATCTCCAACAATGCTGTCAGGAGTCCTGTTGTCTTAGAAAATCACTTCATACTGCTGTATAGAGTTACACTGTGTCAGAAAATCTCCAACAATGCTGTCAGGAGTCCCGTTGTCTTAGAAAATCACTTCATACTGCTGTACAGAGTTACACTGTGTCAGAAAAATCTCCAACAATGCTGTCAGGAATCCTGTTGTCTTAAAAAGTCTCACTTCAGACCACTGTCAGGATATCCGTTGTGTAGACAAGTCTCCCCACACTGCTGTCAGGAGTTTCGTTGTCTTAGAAAATATAATGTTGGTCTTCCGCTGTAACGTGAAAGGAATGTCCAGTGAAGAAATAAGTGAATTGTGTTTACTTCATCTTCATGCCACTTAATTATATTCCACGAGAGCCATAAGGAGAGTCCATGTTGTTCTGATAGTTACTCCTACAAATGTCCTAAGATATCATTCCTTTAAAAGCTCCGGGAACCAACTATAGTACAATATAAACGTTCATAATCCGAAATATTCCCAGTTGTCGACCTGTGATCATCAAACATCACACAAGAGTTTAGTGAGTTTGACGAATGATTGTCGTGATTCTGAAGTAAATAGCTTCATTTTGGTTCGTTGCAACGTTTATTCGCCTGAGGTTTAAACGGGGTTTCTTCAGTGAACCCTCATCTCGAACGTAAAGGAGGGGTTTCATAAACACGAAGAAAGCATGGTTTAGGTAAGAAGGTTGAAATTTTTGCTATATGTAATTCCTCGTAAAGCTAAGATCGACTTAGAATAAATATAGTAAGTGGACCCCACAATCAAATGAGACTAACACTAAGATGATGATATATAAGTATATACTGTTAAAACAGTTGATATATATATATATATATATATATATATATAAGTAGTTTAGCTAGAAACATTCTATATATATATAATTTTAAATTAATCTCACTTTTATTGTAAAATTTATTTACGCTGTTTTTAGTTGGCGTCTTTGAGGTTTGTGGATTACTCGTGAACGTGTTGAAAAATAAGATTTATTTGAGAAAGTAAGAATAGATAAAATACACTGCACTTATTTGTTACAGAATTTACTAAATCCATAACAAAATTCCATTAAAGTTCTACCTCTTTGGGGTGTAAAACAAGTTACCTTTTCAATAACAATTACGACCTCAAAATAGGCATGTTTTAAAACCTGATTACTACTGTTTAAATACGAATAAACGAAACTAATAATATATCGTAACTCATTTTCATGTCACAGCTGTGAAACAGTAAATAATACATTAAATTTACAAGAATTTGAACTGGCTTTCTTACAAACTGTCCAATATTGTTAGATCTGTTTGTAGATATAACACATGAGAAACAATAAGTAACACACTAAATTTACAGGAATTCGAACTTGCTTTCTTACAAATTGTGGACAGGTTTTTATTTCCAAAGAAACAGTTATGAGGAAGTTATTACCTGAGAATCCTCTAAACTTGCATTCTTACAAATTGTGGACAAGTTTTTTCTTTCCAACGAAACAGTTTTGAGGAAGTTATTACCTGAGAATCCTCTAAACTTGCTTTCTTACAAATTGTGGACAAGTTTTTTCTTTCCAACGAAACAGTTTTAAGGAAGTTATTACCTGAGAATCCTCTAAACTTGCTTTCTTACAAATTGTGGACAAGTTTTTTCTTTCCAACGAAACAGTTTTGATGAAGTTATTACCTGAGAATCCTCTAAACTTGCATTCTTATAAATTGTGGACAAGTTTTTTTCTTTCCAACGAAACAGTTTTGAGGAAGTTATTATCTGAGAATCCTCTAAACTTGCATTCTTATAAATTGTGGACAGTTTTTTTTCTTTCCAACGAAACAGTTTTGAGGAAGTTATTAACTAAGAATCCCCTATTCATACACTAATTTATAACAAATTTCAGAATTAACGCTTTTAGTCCAAACAAAAGCAACCACAATATCATGTGCATTATTTAGAACATAAAAGAACAAAAGTAATTATTACACACACACATATATATATATATATATTCCTCTCAGTGTAAAGTATTTCCAAAGATAACACAAGTAATTCAAAGCAAAGTAAAACAAATACTATTAGATTTCAATACAAATAATCAATAACTGATTATTGAGGACCATTAGCTGGTAGTAACTTTAAGTTTTTATGTCGAACAGAAGTAGAATAGAATTTGTTCAAGTTAAAAATATTGATATAAGTGCCCGCTCGCAGTTGTAACTTAGCAACGGATCGTAAAAAAAAAGATGACATGTTATTAGTTGAAGATTTTATTCTTGGTGTCAAGGGATTTATCCGTATTATATAGAGTAGCTACTAATGGTTGCCATATAATCTTAAAAGTTTTATGGGATAACAACAGTGTGAGATTATATTCAACAAGTAAGTCACGTTACCTCTAACACATAACAGTTCACATAGCAAAATGATACTTCTGTATCTATCCAAATCCTACTCAAGTTCCTTTACAGTTGTTTGTGTGCTGACTTTAGTTATATTATTGTTACTTAAAAGCCAATATTGTCATTTTATTTAAATTATTTATTCCCTAAATTACCGTATAAACAATGTAGTAATGGTATCCAATTCGCATCTTACCATTGTCTTATTCTGTCCATAGTTTTTATCATTTTAGCATCTTCTTACTCTGTTCACATCATATCACCCTCGTCTTCTGTCGCACCTTTTTGTCATCTTAACACCCTCATATTCTATCCAAACCTTTGTCACACTTTAAGACCCCTTATTCTATTTACACCTTCATTGCACCTTAACTTTCCTTATTTCGTACAGACCTTTTTCACACCTTAACACCCTTATTCTATTTACACCTTCATTGTACCTTAACTTTCCTTATTTCGTACAGACCTTTTTCACACCTTAACACCCTTATTCTATTTACACCTTCATTGCACCTTAACTTTCCTTATTTCGTACAGACCTTTTTCACACCTTAACACCCTTATTCCATTTACATTTTCGTCGCACTTTAACTTTCCTTATTTCGTACAGACCTTTTTCACACCTTAACACCCTTATTCCATTTACATCTTCGTCGCACTTTAACTTTCCTTATTTCGTACAGACCTTTTTCATACCTTAACACCATCTTATTCTGTTAACACCATTGTCAAACATTAACACTCCTTATTTTGTACTGTTAATTTTCACACCCTATTATTCTGTCCTACGTATAAAAATGTTCAACTATAATTTGTTAAAAATGTTTGGTGCTTTATGATCCAATCTTCAGTCACGTCCGAAAATATCGTCAGGTGATAATTCACTGTATTTCAGTCATTACGAATTGTAGTTTTTCAAGTATTTGATTTTATGACATTAAGTATCTCTTGTCAGGTATTCATACAAGATGGCGTTCATGAGCATGTAACCTTTATAACTGTTTTAGTTCTGCTTTTTATGGTAAGCTTAATTTAGATCAGAAGTTCTTTATAACACCTAACACCTAAAGAATATCGGTTAACACCCTGTCAGTTGAGAGTTAATTTCATCATCACCGTGTGAGAAGTCGACCTCAAACATTAAAAAAAAAAAGCCTACCTGTTGAAAGCGCTGAGGTTTTATCAGGTTGTTTGAATGCGAGCTTAGATCATACATTTTTTATTACTTACTTCTACGAACAATCTTGCTAGAGAATCAAAATCAAACTCATCTTCTGATGGCTCAGACGAATCGTCAATCTTTTCGATGTTTTTAAGTATACTATATATATTTTCTGCTATAATAAACCTACGGAATTAATGAATTCTTCATCATTGTAAAATGCTGATATTTTATACCATAGTTCTGTAAGAATCGGATTCAGTCACCTTTCTTTAACTTCATTATTTGATATATCTTAGTTTCTAAACATGTTATTGTTTTCTTTCTTTAAATTTGTTATTTCTACTTTATCTAACTTTTCAAGAAAGTGTACTTCATCATCCAAAACCGTCAGATATTAATTTAAATGACGATAACTCCACAGTGTTTGTCTTAAGTTTGTATAGGACGTAAATACATACACCGATAAAAATAATTTATATAAATTTGTAGGGTATTCCGCAGTTTAATGAACGCTGTCATTAATTTCTATAACTATATATAACGATATTTGTTAAAGACTATAACTTTGTATATATATTACTTTAAATTAAGTGTAGCTGTGAAACCTGGGCAACACAAAGAGCAATGAACGCTGCTGAAAGAGTGGTAACAATATGTGTTGCCTTTCTGCACAAAACCTTAGAAGCTGTAAAACTTATTTAAACCTCTGATTTTTATTTCTGATACTCAATAGAAATGAGAGAATACAAATGAGAATGCAGGTTCTCGAATTATCTGTTTAAATGCAGGTTCCCGAACTATCTGTTTAAATGCAGGTTTCGAACTATCTGTTTAAATGCATGTTCTAGAACTATCTGTTTAAATGCATGTTCTAGAACTATCTGTTTGAATACAGGTTTTCGAACTATCTGTTTAAAAAGTATGTTCCCGAACTATCTATTTAAATGCTGTTCTTTTCTTAAGTAAATGGAAATATAAACATTTTATGTGGTTAACAAAGGTTGCATAGCACTGATGCTTCTATTTATAGCAGTTTGTTAATTAGGAGAATTAACCTTGATGGATAAATAGGATATTACACCATATAGATTTTCATACATAGAATATAGAATATTAAATCATATCAAGTTTAAGAAATAGAATATAGTACATTTAAACTATATAAACATTACAAAATACAATGTAGAACAAGAAACCATTTCAGAAACACGTTGTAGATCATTAAACCATGTCAAATTTCAGAATTAAAATATTGAACACTAAACCATATTAAGTTTAAGAAACAGAGTGTAGAACATTAAGCCAGATGAAATTTTACATACGAAATATAGAACATTAAACCATATTAAGTTTTAGGAACAAAATGTAGAACATTAAACCATAATAATTTTCAGTAATAGTGGTGAATTTTAAACCATGTAAAAATCAAAGAAAAGCAGATTATAGAACATTAAATAATACAGAATTTCAGGAATAAAGTAAAATACTAAAGTATTTAAAGATATCCAAAAACAGAATTTAAAACATTAAACCATATAAAATATAGAAAACACAATGTAGAACATTAAACAATATAAAACAGGAAGTACAATGTAGAACATTAAACAATATAAAATTTCAGAAATACCATATAAAACAATAAACTCAATCAAATTTTAGAAACAGAATATACAACAGTGAACCATATAAATTCTCAGAAATAGAATGTTGGGCATTAAAACCATATAAACTTTAAGGAAAATTATATAGAATATAAGTTAAATAAAAATTCAATTTAAAATACAGATTATTAAACATATCAATATTTAGAAAATATTATAGAACATTAAACCATATAGTGAATTACGACCTTGAACTGCGGATCAAGAAAACCTAGTTCAGAAACTTTGATCTGTCATAAATAACAATTTCAGTACAGGGGAGTTTTTGGTACCCCACAAACCATTTCCTCAACCATACCTTTAGTTTTCTGTAAATTTTACAAATTTTGTTCATACATGAATTTGTTTATGATTAAAATAATAGCGCGATTAAGGTTCCTGATTTAAATGAGCAAGTAATGAACAAGTTTTAGTTATTAGGGAGGAAGAGATGGAATTTTCATACTTGACCCTCCCAGATCCCGATAAA